TGCGTCCTAGCCATAGCCAAGGGGCCGTTTGCTAGTCATGCCTGTGGGTTCACCCTCTGTGCATTTGGTGGGTGGGGTGGGGAAGGGGCCAGCATGGGACGCCACCTGGTTGTTTTACTTGTGATTGTAAGATGTTTGCTGGTTGCTTTGGAGAGTGAGGGAGGCCAAGGAAGTGCTTTAGAGGTCACGTTCTCTGCCACTCCTTTGAAACTGAGACCCCGTTGGCATCTTTATGTGTGAAGGTTATAGACGGTGGACAGGATGAAACTGATTGTAGATGACATGAGCAGGGAAAGCAGTCATAAGAGACTCATTTCCAAAGGAGGCTTATGGAAATGTCCCCTCCCACTTGGTAATCACACCATGAAGCAGAATTAATCATCCATAAAAGATGTCTCTTATTCTGTTTTTTATCTTGGTCGTGGTGGCACAGTGGGCCCAGGACACTCATTTAGATTCATGGGTTTTTCCCACCCACATAATGAAACTCGTCATTCTTTCGTCTGTTTATCTGCCCACTGTTCCTTCTGACACCCCCACAGTCCCTTTTTCTTGCTCTACGACATCTGAGCTGCTGTCATCTGATTGGGGTCAGCAGAGTTTCTCATTGTCCCATGGGACAGCTGGCAGCACCAGGGACCTGGGCAAGCCCTGCTGGGAAGAACGGCGTCTTGGAGTCCAGTCTGTCCCCCAGCCTCTGGGTCTGTGTCTCAGCCCCCTTTGTTCAGTTGACCAGGGCAAATCCCAAGAGCTGTTGTGGACCGTGGCACACGCCAGGGGCAGAGGTAGCCTCAATCTTGGATCTGCTCCTCGGGGCCCCTCCCAGCCCCCTCTCAGAGCACTGCCTATGCATCAGCCCTTGTGGAGCCGGCTGTACCAGGCCTCACGTGGGACCCCAGGCGTGCCTTGAGTCTGCTCACCGACCCTTACCTACCATGCTTAGCTGTGCTACGCAGCCCTTCTCTCCCCACCTCTCCTCTTCCCCCCACCGCACACAGCCAGCTTCATTTCAGCCTTTCAGCCTCGGTAGGATGTCTTCTCTAGGAGTCCCCTCTCAGACAACCCCCACCCCAGGCTGGTCAGGTAGTCCTCTGTGCTCCCCATGAGAATTCAGTGAGATTATTCATCGAAAGCATGGAGCACAGTGCCTGGCTCCATCAGCAAGCATTTTGGGAAGGTCTGTCCTTTGCCAGTCAGTGGGGGATAGTAATGTGAAAGAGGCACAGTCCCAGCCCTCTGGACATTTGGGATGGCAGGGTGACAAACCAGGACACTCCAGTTGATGTGTACTGTGGTGTGAGCCATGACAGTAGCAGGAACTGGGTGGGCTCATCGAAGAGGGATTCAGAGTGGGCCTCCTGGAGGCAGTAATCCCTGCAATCAGATGAAGTTGGCCAGATTTGGGGAGCATAGGTAGAGTGAGCGTAGGTTGCAAGCAAATAGAGGAGCAGGGGTGAGAAACATCCTGGGTGGTGCAGCAGTGGGTGTCTCAGAACAGAGAACTGAGTTGAAATGAGGGTGCCTCCTGGTGACTTAGGGAGACGCAAATAGCATAGGGTGATCTCACAGTCTGAGATAGTGGATGTGGCTGATGGCCCAGATGCCAGAGGAAGCAACCGATAAGATATTTCTCCACGGGAAGTCTCATTCTGATCATTATCTGATCTTTTTATGTGAGTTCCTTGGGTCATGGGTGGGTCATTTAGACCCAACCACCATGATTCCCAAGTGGCAGCCCCAGCAGGCCTTACCCTGTGTGTTTACAGATGAACTGGCATGCCTTGAGGACCCTGTGATACCCAGGGTCCCCACCTGTGCCCCTCTGTCCCTGTGTCATTTATATTATCATGTCTCCTGGCCCAGGCTCCAGGGAATGTGCCCACAGGCATGACCAAGGGGCCAGGATTTGGTAGATTTCATAAAACAACTGAGTCAAGGACTGAGGGGCAACATGGGCCAGAGGGCTGGGTCATTAAGACATTGCCTTAGGACATCTGCATTTTTGTGGTGCCTTGCTCTGGCACTAATCTCCAGATGTAAATTACCTCCAAACACCCAAACTGTGTGTTAGCTGTTCTAGCACCTTCCAGCTGCTGGAAAGAAAGTGATTCTAGGCATACCTCATCAACAGAGGTACCTACATAATGAAAATTTGTATACCTAACCCTGAATTGTACCCCACATCTTTAAAATAAAAAAATTTTTTTAAAAAGAAAGTGGTTCTAGGAGCAACCAAAGGACTAGTTTTGAGTTGGTGAAAGGCCAATTCTGTTGCTTTGTTATTATTGTTTCAGTAACATAAGTAGCAAATGGAAGCATGCTTGTTGTAAAAAAAAAAGTATATCTAGACATTATAGAAATATATGTTTATTTCTGTGTAGGTAGAATATATTAGCATGTTCGTGCAGTTATATGTACAGTCATGCATTGTATAATGATGCGGTCTACAACAGACTGCATGTACAATGGTGGTATTATAATAATATTATTATACTGTATTTTTACTGTACCTTTTTATAGTTAGATATGTTTAAATACACAAATACTTACCATCATGTTATAATAGCCTACAGTATTCAGTACAGTCATATGCTATACAAGTTTATATCCTAAGAGCAACAGGCCATACCGTATAGCCAAAGTGTATAGTCGATTGTACTTTCCAGATTTGTGTAAATATATCCTGTGATGTTCACACAATGGCACAATCACTTAATTCCATATTTCCCAATGGATCCCCATCATTAAACAATGTGTGTGTGGACAATATAGACACATAAAAAAAAGTGAAAATACTTCTTCACACCTCATTCTGTCTATTCCTAAGAAACCACTGCTGTGTTGTGACGGATAACCTTCTAGACAGTTTTTCTGTGTATTTACATAATAAACAAAGGCCTGTGTATTCATACATTCATATCAATGTCCAGTGACTTGGTTCATTCCCTTCATTCCTCTTTGATTCTTTTCCCTTCTTTTTAACTGGGATTGAATACTCCACAGTATGGATGTAACCTTCTGTCTGCTAGTGATGGATACTTAGGTTACTTCCCTTTTTTGTTATTACAGACAGCACTGCGGTGGGTCCATCTGGCCATACATCTTTGTGCATGGGCATTGGTACTGTTTGGAATAGATTCCAAGGCGTAGAACACTAGGATAGGGATAAAGCACACAGAATGTTTGATGGATACTGCCCAACATGCCTTTTACAAGGCTGCTATGGTTTTTCCATTTGCCTGCAGCATTTAGAAGTGGCAGCTTTGCCAGTGTTGGATATTATCATTAAAACATGATTTTCCTGCCTGATGGGGGGAAGTCATATTGCATTGTTGTTTTATTTTACATTTATTTAATTATGAATAACTTGAGCATCTTTTCATATGTTTATTGGCCATTGCTATGTGTGCATCTGTAATTATCCTGTTTGTATCCTTTAATGATTTTTCACTTGTTGGGGCGCTTATATACTTTGGATATTAATCACTTGTCTGTTATGCATGTTGCAAATATTTTTCTCTCCACATATTGCTTGTCTTTTATCTTTGTTTATGGCATCTGTTTGCCAAAGGGAAGTTTTAAATATTTATGTAGAGGAATTTGTAGAAGAAATTAGGGAATTTCAATTGATTTAGATGGGTGGTTGGTTCTTGTGTTAGCTATTGTTCATATGTATGTATATATACTGTGGTGATTAATAAACCCTTAGAAGTTAAATAGATCCATCCGAATACACTTATTTTTGTGTATTTCCCTCAAGGGGTGGTTGCTGAAAGCTTGACTGTTGTCGTGTAGGGAGTTCTAGGGAATCTGCAATGCTACAAAGATATCCCCAAGCAAGGGAAAATTGGGGACCATTGAGACAGAGGCTGTCCATGGAGGACAGATAGCCAGGAGCCCCATATTTCCATTCTTTTTTTTTTGAGACGCTGTCACCCAGGCTGGAGCGCAGTGGTGTGTGCACTCATGGCCACCCTAACATCGACCTGCTGGGCTCTGGCAATTCTTCCACCTCAGCCTTCCAAGTAGCCAGAACTACAGGCACATACTACCACACCTGGCTAATTTTTTATTTATTGTAGAGATGAAGTCTCACCAAGTTGCCTGGACTGGTCTCAAACCCATGGGCTCAGGCAATCCCCTCACCTCAGCCTCCCAAAGTGCTGGAACTACAGGCTTGAGCCATCATGCCCAGCCCACATTTCCATTCTTATAGCTCAACATCCGGAAGAAAAGAGACCCTCTTCTCATCATCACCTCCCAAGGAAAAGGAGTCCAGTTGCCCCATCACTGTCCTCATTGACTGTGGTCACACATTCACCCCTGCCAGGGAACAGGGACACTGTGATCGACAGTCCAACCCGACCACATATGGAGGGGAAGGGTTGGTCCACTTTTGGAAAGAGGGTGCCAGATGGACAGACATAACAGATTGCAGGACCCACACATGGCACCCAGAAGATGGCAGTAGGGAAGCTGGACTGGATCGGAGGAGTGAGCCTGAGACAGGCTTGCATCCTTCACTCACACCTTGGTCCTTGCCTCTCTCCTGTAAAGCGGTCTCCTGAGTGGGTCAGGCTGGGGAGCCAAAAGCAGATGATATTAAATGAGGCATGTCAAATACCTGCATCTGGCACTTTGCGGTACCCAGTTAGTGGTGATAATTTTCCTCCTTGTTATAGTTACCGGAATTAAAAGAGTGTTAGGATGAGGAGCAGATCGTAAGAAGTTAGTGGGTGAGTTCTTTCTCAAACGCCCTGAGCGAGGCCTCTTCGGGTGGTCCCTGGTGTTGCATAGGTGGTAACGGTGAGGAAGGATAATGGCACTCAGAAAGAGGCAGGGGCCCAGGGGGCTCAGGAAACGCATCTTGAGTGGGAAGCTGATTTCTAGCTCCGCTGAAGTGCACCTTGCTTCTGAGTGAAATTCAACCCCACGCTGGGCCCCGCAGCTGGCCTGGTACCTCAGGGACCATATCGTGACCTGCTTTGCTTCCCTTACAGTTCACCTGATCCCCGTGTCAGCAGCAAAGAATGGAGTGAACAGCAAGAGTCGAAAGAGAATCATGCCCGACCCGGTGACGGAGCCCCCTGTGACAGACCCCATTTATGAAGCTCTTTTGTACTGCAACATCCCCAGCGTGGCCGAGCGCAGCATGGAAGGTAGCCCTTGTGTGCCGCCCACCCAGCACCCCACAGCCTGGGACTCGGTGCCCGGATGGAGCCCCCCTGCAGGGACTAGTTCTTTAAGCAGCACAGCAGTGGAAAGAAACAGATGACTGGGGCCCAAATCCTGCAGTTGCCACTAGGCTGTACCCTTGAATGAGTTCATGGATCTTAGCATCCTCATCTATAAAATGGGAGTAACTTGGCCAGGTGCAGTGGCTCATACCTGTAATCTCAGCATCTTGGGAGGCCAAGATGGGAGGATTGCTTGAACCCAGGAGCTTGAGATCGGCCTGGGCAACATAGTGAGACTTTTCACTACAAAAAAATGCAAAAATTAACGGGGCGTGATGGTGCGCACCTGTAATCCCAACTACTCAGAAGGCTGAGCTAGAATGATGGCCTGAGCCCAGGAAGTTGAGGCTGCAGTGAATGCTATGTTTATGTCATTACATTCCAGCCTGGGCAAGAGTGAGTTCCTGACTAAATAAATAAGGGAGTAACTAGCAGGACCTGTGCTCGGGACTCGTGGGAAAATTAACTGCTTTGAACAGCATATGGCTCATGGTCAGTCCGCAAAAAATGTTTGCCATTATCATGATCTCTCGGAAGACTGAAAGGTGGCCTCGGTGGGCTCCGGGGAAGCACCCTCAGCTACTCCGCTTTTCAGGGGAGTCTCTTGGGACTTAGGATGCCCTGCTGGTATGTTGCCATAAAGCTGTGGGAAAATATAATTTCTGTGTCAAGTTTTGCTTTTCTGAAAGTGTATCAAAGGATAGTGTTGAATATTTATTAATCTTTGTGCCTTGTCTTGTTTCATGAAAGAGTTAAAGCAGAAGTCATTGTCTCTGGTATTTCTGGGGTCCTCCCCCTAGTCCATGCATGAGGCCACATTGGTAGCCATGCCCACATTTCACTGACCTCCTGTTACTTCTGGGATATCTGGGACATAACCAGCCCTCTCATGTTCCTCTCTCTCGCTTTGTAAGACTATTCCACGTTCCCTGCCCAGCAAGGCAGCCCTGCCTACAGCCGGGACCCATTGACAGTGGCTCTGCAGCCCCTTGGTGACCCCCATTGCCCCCTCCTCTGATTCCCAGCACAAGCATAGCCAGGTCACTGCCCCCCACTGCTGGCTCCCTTCCACCCCAAAATTGACCCCTGCTGAGTGATGACCAGACAATTGCTTCTTTCTCACAGGCCACGCCCCGCATCATTTTAAACTGGTCTCGGTGCATGTGTTCATTCGCCACGGGGACAGGTACCCGCTGTATGTCATTCCCAAAACAAAACGACCAGAAATTGACTGCACTCTGGTGGCTAACAGGTAAATTGCACTTTTTCTAGAAGTCATTTTCAAGAATGTTATATCCTGTACGATAGAGAATTGCAGGACAAGGGAGTCACCTGCACTCGATGAACACATACCATTTGCAGGAGCCTGACCCCAGAGCGGCCCTGCATGTGAATACCTTTGCACAGTCGAAAAGACTGCAGCTCACAGAGGCAGGGACACCTGTGTCAAGTAACAGCAGACACACTGAGGTTTGAGCCTAGATCATCCAGAGGCCCACTCTCCCACTCTGCCATTCTTCAGTCGGAGAAACAGCTGGGACACGGTGCAGTGAGCACTGGGTTAGGAGCCCTCCACCCAGCTCAGCTGCTCTATTCGGGGCAGCAGACAAGTCCCTTTGTGTCTCTGAGCCCCGCCTCCTATCTCTAAAATGGGGATGACCATGCTCACTGTGCAGGGCTCAGGTGAGGAATGCATGTTAGCAGTTGCAAAGCCATAAGGATGTGAGATATTATCTCAACCTTTTAATTTTTTACAAGAGTCGAGACAGCCTGTTCTCGGTTGAAAGCCCTTAGGATGAGAAATAATTGGACAGAGAGTGGAAATTGTATGTATGGATATGGCACGGCCTTAAAATCAGAGGCACAGTTAGCAATAAAATGATGGGTCAGGCCTTGGCAAGTGTGTCTGGGGCACACAGTGCCCCAGCAGAGTTTACCAAATGAGGTCAGGAGACACAGAGTGCTCGGTGGGGCTGATGTCATTTTGACGGACTGCTTCTGGGGTGCCAGCATGCCGGGCAGGGCCAACCTGATGGAGCCGTGGATTCCCTTAAGGCAGTCAGGGCCATTCTTTAAAGAAGCACTTTGCCTCTCTCTTTTGCTGGGCCCCTCTTTCTGTCACAGCGACAGGAGGGCCGTCTAACAGGGCCATTTCCGGAGCTCTTATCTGAGAGGCTCAGTTCCTGGGGACCCGCGACCTGGCTGTCTCTGTCCTCATTCTCTTTTGCCTGGTTGTGTCTTATTGAACACCCTATATTTTTAGAAGCTGCCTCAAATCCTTTGTGGAAAGGGGGTGGAGTATGCATGTCTAATTACTTCATGTCATAGTTAATTCCATCTTTATCAACAATAACAACTGACTTGTCACCATAAACGCATAGATGGAATAAGAGTGAGCAGGCACCCCAGTGCAGTGGGCCCACCCTGGTCGCCCAGGACTGAGATCTAGGTCACCAGCAGAGCCTGCTGTCTTTCTGGTTGCTTTTTCAGCTTCATAAATCAGTAAATTTATGACCTCCTAAAAGGTGGTGACTCCCTGTGTGTACCTGGTTACTCTAGTCCAGTGCAAGGGAGTATTTGGGCCAGCAGGTGGGTGGGGAGCCAAATCAGGCAGGAACTGGTTGTCCACACAAGCCGTTGTCCCACAGTTTCCACCCACAGTGACACACCCCGTGGCTCTCAAAGCTTTTGTAGTAGGAGCTGCCTCTTCCTGAAAGCTGTGTGCTTTTTGACAAAGGCTCTATTTCAGCCCTCATAGTACGATGTTTAGCCAGCATTAAGGATATTAGCCATTCATACACCCTTTTTAGTAAATGCTTTTTAAAAAATTCCTAAACGGGAATTAAATATGCTTTTTTTCTAAATCCAAGGAAGAAAGAACTCTTCACTCAGTCAGCCTTTATTCAGCACGTTTTAGTTTTATGAGTTTTATGCTCCTGTCATGTGCCAGGGACTGTCACGTGTACCTGGCTCCCATAACAGGAGGTGAGCAGTCTCGTAGGTACAGTGAAAATAGCCAGCCCTGTGAGGTTCTGGGGAAAGAACATTCTAGAGGGGGGAAACGGCAAGTGCCCAGGGCCCAAGGCTGGAAGAGCTGGGCATGGGTGAGCCACAATAAGACCAGGTGTGACTGAACGGGAAGGGGTAAGTGGACTTCTGAGGAGTCACAGGAGAAAGGCTGCCCTGCCCACTCACCTCCAGAGAGACAGACCCGGTGCCTGGGACATGGCAGGCCCTTAGTGAATGGTAGCTGGCAGGTGACAGAGGTGTCAGAGAAAGAAATAGAAGAAGAGTGAGAAGAATTAAAAGTAGAAGTCGGTTCGAGAACCGCCTGGGCAACTTGGAGAGACCTCATCTCTACAATAAATAAAAAATTAGCCGGGCGTGGTAGCGGGTGCCTATAGTTCCAGCTACTTGGAAGGCTGAGGCAGAAGGATCGCCGGAGCCCAGCAGGTCGAGGCTGCGGCGGCCACTGCACTCCAGCCTGGGCGACAGAGTGAGACTCCAACTCAAAAAAAAAAAAAAAGTAGAAGTCGGTTCAGTATGACACTTGGGGTTATGAACCAGAAGAGGGGTGGCCTGATTCAGTCGGGGCAGGGAGGGGGCGTGGGGTGGCAGTTCAGGGAAGGCCACCCAGAGAACGGGCCGAAAGGTGAGCAGGGGCAAAGGGGGCAGCAGCAGATACTGAGCAGCCCCATAAACAAAGACACCAGCTGTGTAGCATGGGGTAGTGGGCAGCTTGGCACATCGGGGTCCTCAAAATGAGTTTCTCAGGCTTGAGTGCCATGCAGAGCTGGGTGGGAGCCAATCACCTGAGGCTCTGAAGGCCCAGCAAGAGAGTGTGGGCTCCAGACACCAAGGTGGCAAGGGAGCTGGGAGTGATGGCATCAGAGGATGGAGGTCTCTGACAGCCCTAATGCAGAGGACAGACTGGAAGCTGGTGGTGGCGTCTGTGTCATGGACTTGACTTGGAGCAGAGCCCACAGCCTTAAAATGGCCTGCAAGGCCCATGTGCCCTTCCTCCACCCCTTACTGCCTCTGCTTCAGCCACATTGCCCCGAGCTCTTTCAGTCCTTGTGCACACTGCTGCCCTCAGGGCCTTTGTACTGGCTGTTTCCTCTCCCTGGAAAGCTCCTTCCAGGATAGCTGTATGGCCAATTCTCTCACCTCCTCAAGTCTGCTCAGATATCCCCTTCTCAGTAAGACCTACTCAGAACAACACTCCAGTTAAAATGACAAGGTGCTTCTCCCTCCATCCTAATTTTTACAACCTCCTCATCCCCCCCTTCTTTTTGCTGCAGTATCTGCTACCGTCTTTTTTGTGTGTGTATGAGTTGGAATCTTACTCTGTCACCCAGGCTAGAATACAGTGGCATACTCACAGCCACCTCAGTCTCAAGCTGCTGGGCTCAGGTGATGTTTCCACCTCAGCCTTCCAAGTAGCTGGAACTACAGGCGTGAGCTATCATGTCTGGCCAATTTTTTGATTTATTGGAGAGATGAGGTGTCACCAAGTTGCGCAGGCTGGTCTCGAATCTGAGGACTCAGGCAGTCCTCTCACCTCAGCCTCCCAAAGTGCTGGGATTATAGGTGTGAACCACCACGCCCAGCTATCTGCTACCTTCTAACACACACACGCACATGTTTATGGTGTTCATTGTATACCATCTGCTTCTCCAGGCTAGAACATAGGAGGGCAGGGATTTTTATTTGTTTTTCTTCACCACTGTTACATCCAAAGCACCTAAGACAGTGCCTGGCGTATGGTGGGAAGCGTGACAATTATTTGTTAAATGAATAAATGATGGAGACTGGAACTCAGGGAGTGGCAGCAGAGATGGAGAGAGGGGTGGATCTTAGAATACATGACACAGTGGGATCAACAGGACTTGGTGACAGACTGGAAGGGGGTGTGAGGGAGGGTGGTGCCCAGGTTTCTGATTGGGCATCTGACTATTGGTAGTGCCCCTTCCTGGAATAGAGAGCACAGAAAATAGGAAGTTTGGGAGAGGGGCGTGAGTACAATCTCAGGGCTGCATTTGAGCTGCCATGAAACATTCAGGTAACTCCTAGTAGGCAGAAGGCCATATAGGCTTGAGGCCCAGGAGCACCGTTTTGCTGAGAGGTAGAGGATTGTTGGAGCATCTTCAGCACAGTGATGGCCTTAGAAGCTGTGGGCTTGAATACTATCATAGACAGAACTTGAGGCATGGAAGAAAAGCAGAGTCCTGGGAAACAGACATAGAACAGGCACAGGGGAGAGAGGATCCCAGGAGTGGGCGCTGGAGCCGCAGAGGGGAAGAGGTTAAGAGACTGCCGTGATGAGAGCTGAAGAAGTGGGGCAATTAAACACCTCACATAAAGCAAAGGCCCAGAAGGCTAAAGACTTGAGAAAATTATCTTTTTATCATTTCACTTTATTAATAATATGAGGTGAGAAATGCTTTAATTGGCATCCATTTTGAAAATCCAGTGTGAATGCATCCCAGTCTCCAGCTATAAATGCTTTTTTGAATTGTGTTTTCTGATGACAGGGTTACTGGCCTCACACCTCCCCTCTGCCTAAATTAATGTTCTGTGCAGAACTCTGCAGTTGCTAAATTAAGACTAAGGCACAATAAATTTTCTCATAGGTGTGTAGATTCGCCTTGGGGTTCTCTGTCAAGCTTTATGGCATAAATAGGTGTGAATGATGCATATAAAAGTGTAAATAACCCGGAGAGATGACTCAAGGCTGTAATCCCAGCACTTTGGGAGGCCTAGGCGAGAGGACTGCCTGAGCCCAGAAGTTCGAGACCAGCCACAGGTTTGAGACCAGCCTGGGCAACTTGGTAAGACCTCGTCTCTATAATATATCAATAATAATAATAATAATTAGTTGGGCATAGTAGCATGCATCTGTAGTTTCGGCTACTTGGAAGGCTGAGGTGGAAGGATCGCTGGAGCCCAGCAGGTCGATGCTGGGGTGGCCGTGAGTGTGCCACTGTACTCCAGCCTGGGTGATGGAGTGGGACTCCAACTCAAAAAAAAAAAGTGCAAATAAGAAGTCTGAAGTGAATGACTTGATGGCTTAAGATAGTAACACTTTTCCATTCCTTTCATTTTTAATATGAAAGCAGATTTCCAACTAGACCACATGAGTTTTTCCTGAAGAATTCGTTCTCATAGATGCAATTATTTCTGTATCAGTCAGGGTAAGGTTAACTTGTAAGTCTCTTGTAACAAAGAGACTCATGAATGCTTTACCCTAAATGACAAAGAAGTTGAGCTCTTCCACATGCAAAGGTCTGAGTGGGCTAAACTTGTTCGTTTAGGGCCGCTGGTCTTTCCAGGCTCGTGCTTCCGCCATCCCCTGGGGATGTCTGCATGGTTGAGCCTGGGCTGCTGCCATGCCTAACAGTGGCTGAAGGAAAGGAAGAGAATGTGAAGGAGGGCACACTCATGATCTGAAAGCCTCAGCCCAGAAGTGGCACGCATCCTTTCATTCCTTTGGCAAATGAGGGCCCACCTAACTTCTGGGACCTCAGAAATGGGATCTACCCAAGAAGAGAAGAAGAGAATAGATGCTAATGTACAACTAGTATTCTCACCCACAACCACCTTCATTTATTTATTTATTTATTTATTTTAGTTGGAGTCTCACTCTGTCACCCAGGCTAGAGTGCAGTGGCACACTCACGGCCACCCCAGCGTTGACCTGCTGGGCTCCAGTGATCCTTGCACCTCTGTCTTCCAAGTAGCCGGAACTACAGGCATGTACTACCATGCCCAGCTAATTTTTTTATTTATTGTAGAGACGAGGTCTTGTCAAGTTGCCCAGGCTGGTCTCGAACCCGCGGGCTCAGGCAATCCACTCGCCTCAACCTCCCAAAGGACTGGGATTACAGGCTGAGCCACTGAGCCTGACCTTCTTTATTTTTAATACAGTTGTCCAGTGTCTGGAGGGGATTTGTTCCAGGGCCACCTTCAGATACCAAAGTCTGTGATGCTCAAGTCCCTTGTGTAAAATGGTGTAGTCTCTGCTAATAACCTAAGTACATCCTCTAGTATACTTTAAATTGTCTCGAGATAATTTATAATACCTAATACAATGTAAATGCTGTGGAAATAGTTGTGATACTATATTCTTTTGTGTTTGTATTATTTTGTATTGGTGTATTGTTATTTTGGGGGTTTTTTCCTGAATATTTTTTGATCCGCAATTGAATCTTCAGATGCAGAATCCTAAGATATTGGAGGGCTAACTGTATTTTCATCAAAATCTGAATATTTTGATAAACACTTGGGGAAATTGCCGTATGCATTGCTACAGATGTTGGAAGTTTCATGAAACATCTAAGGAGGGGGCACTTCACAGTTGAATTCATTCACACATGTTCTTGGAGCATCTGCTGAATGCCAAACACCCTCTGGGCTCTAGGAATGTAGCAGTGGACCAGGCAGGCCGGGGTTGGGCAGCCAGATCCAGGACAGGTCCAGGGACTCAGGTTACCTGGTCCTCTTCCTGTTAAAAAGATATAGCCATTTATCTGTTCTGTAAGGGAAATTTTTCTTCCATGAATCTTCATCTTTCCATACCAAAAAAGAAAGTTGTCATGAATACAGTTAGGTATCAAAGCATCGTTAAGCAGATGCCCTGAAAACCTGGGACGCCTCAGCAAACACTTTCAGGAGTGAAATTCCATTTCTAAAATTGGCAGCAAAGCTTTCTCACATCCTCAGAAAATCTCCAACCTGAAATGATGGCCTAAGGCAGAACACTTGACTCCTGTTGATAGATGGCCTTTGTTTATGTGGATTCCTATTGGCAGCCTCATTGTCAGTCTGGACATTTTATTTCCCAGTCTGCAAACATTTATATGCTTTAGCCTCAGGCGAAATAACATACCCTCTGCTTTTATGGAAAAACGTAACTCCCTGTAGCCATCGAGGGTGATTTATTAAACCATACTGCATGTCTGGATTAGCATACTCTAATTTTAAAACATCTTTTTTAAAAGATGGGGTTTTTTTTTTAGCTTTATGCTTTTGAAAGATAATCAACCCATTTTGGCAGCCATTTTTACATCATTGCCAAAGTTAATTGAGCTCTCAGACAGCGGGGGCTTGCCATTAGAACAATTTATCTTTGCTTCTTTTCATGCTGATTTGTATGCAGCTTAAAATCTGTCCACTTTTGTTCAGCTGGAAAAATGTATATACATTCATAGGCTATTTCATTATTCTGAGAATAGGTGTGTATATTCATAGGTCATTTCATTTCAGGGAAATTGTATGTTAGTGACTAGAAACACTGCATATATTTTGTGGCAGAAATATAGATAATCTCAGACCTCATATATAAACTTGTTTTTTGATATTTATTACCACCTCATACTAAATGAAATGTTGTATGTGCAAAACGCAGAATGAATATAAGAACGATAGAGATCTTGGTTATCTTACTTAGTTAACAGTTTTCAAAATGGGAGATTTTCCAGAGATCAGAAAAATTAAGAACTGCGGGTTACCTCAGCAAAGGATGGGGTCGATTTTTTAGAAGGGAGAGGACAGCATGTCGAAAGTTGTGGAAGTGTGAAAGAACGAGGTCTTGGGTACCTGCATGGTCTATGTTTGTATACCTAACCCTGAATTGTACCCCACATCTTTATAATAAAAATTTTTTAAAAAAAGAAAGAAAAGAAAGAATGAGGTCTGCTGTGTGTTGGGGGAGAGAAGGCAATTAGCTTCATGTGGCCTGGCCAGGACAAGGTCTTAGGGAGGAGAGGGCCAGGGAGTGCCACGGCAGGACCACCACAGATCTACAGATCATGCCAAGACGAGGCCATGACAGATTAACAGGCCGTGCCAAGGCGGAGCCACGATAGATTGACAGATGTGCCAAGGCAGGGCCACACAAGATTGACAGGCCCTGTGAGTGTCATTCTGGATAGGGAAGGACAGTGAGCCAGGCTTGCCTTTTAAATGGATCCCTCTGGCTGTAAAGGCAAGGTCAGAGGGGCATGGTTAATTGGCAGGAAGGTCAAGGAGGAGTTCATCGCTAGCCAGACAAAAGCTGCGTGAGGCCAGAACCCAGGTAGTAGCTGTGAGGAAGGAGACAGGGATGGAGGAGCACCAGAAGGAAGAATCTGTGAGATTGAGAGGCAAGTAGCATGTGTAGGGACAGGGAAAGAAGAAAGTAGGACAGCTCCCAAGCTAGGGCATGACGGGTGGGTGTTGGTGGCCTCCCAGAAAGGGAGCCCAAGAGGCGGCGCAGAAGGGGAACAGGATGGTAGAGGGCAACGCTGAATCCCACAGTACCAAGTTCATCAGGCTAGGGACTCAGGCTGACCTTACAGAGGGAGGATTTCATATGGAAGTGTCAGTGGTCAAGTAATAATGAAATTAAAATTGAAAAGTGATTGAGGCCAAGCATGGTGGCTCACACCTGTAATCCCTGCACTTTGGGAGGCCAAGGTGGGAGGATTGCCTGAGCCCAGGAGTTTGAGACCAGCCTGGGAAATATAGCAAGACTTATCTCTACAAAAAAAAAGTTAGCTGGACATGGTTGTGAACACCTATAGTCCCAGCTACTTGGGAGGCTGAGGCAGGAGGATTGCCTGAAGCCAGGAGGTTGAAACTGTGATGAGTCATGATCGTGACACTGCTCTCGAGCCATGGTGACAAAGGGAGACGCCACTCCAGAAAAAAAAAGGGAATTGTATCCGATTGAACCAGTCCCTGTTCTTGTGGGTGGGAAAGGCCAGGACACGTGCTTGCTGATGCTGGAAACTGGGCTCTTAGAGCACCCTGACCACTAATTCTCTGTGTTGTCTCTTTAGGAAACCGTATCACCCTAAACTGGAAGCTTTCGTTAGTCACATGGCAAAAGGATCCGGAGCCTCTTTCGAAAGCCCCTTAAACTCCCTGCCTCTGTACCCCAATCACCCGCTGTGTGAGATGGGAGAGCTCACGCAGACAGGTATGTGACAGCCATCCACTCCATACATCTGGAGCAAATTCTCCAGGGTAAGGTGCTGTGGGCTCAGAGGTGTAAGTAAGGACTGGCACCACAAGGAGCCCAGAGTCAGCACGTCATATAATTCAACATCTGATTTCTAAAAGTCAAATATAATCTTTTTTCTTATTACAGCAGCAATACATATTCATGAAGAGAAATTAGGAACGAGCCAGGCATGGTGGCTCATGCCTCTAATCCCATTAAGAGCACTTTGGGAGGCTAAGGTGAGAGGATCGCTTGAGCCCAGGAGTTCGAGAACAGCCTGGGCAACATAGTGAGACCCTGTCTTTACAAAAAATAAAAATAAAAAATTAACCAGGCATGGGGTCACGCACCTATAGCCCCACCTACTCCGGAGGCTGAGGCAGAAGGATTGCCTGCACCCAGGAGGTTGAGGCTCTATGGTGAGCCACGATCATGCCACTGCACCCTGGCCTAGGTGTCAGAGCAAGACCTGTTTCAAAAAAACAAAAGAAAAAGAAAAAGAAACTAGGAAAGACAGTGAAGTAAGAGGAAGAAAAAAATTAAAGCAACTATAAGTCCTAACAAAGAAATAGACCCTTAAGAGTAATCTCTGTGTACATACACAGAGATTATGTATATGCACAGAGATTATGTTATGCATACATGAACGTACACACACACACCCCTACCTTACTAAACACACTATTTTGTAACCCACTTTTTCACTTAACAATATATTGTGATAATCTTTCCCTATCAATGATTATTTATCCATAACATCATTTGTGATGACTCCATATCATTCCCCTCCAGATGTGCAATAGTTTATGTAACCAATCCCATCTTAGGCCTTTCAAACAAAACTCCTAATAGGTTTTAATGTTCAAGATCTCGAAGAACAACAGGTGGCACATTCCCCACTGCTATACGCAGTGGGAGTTGAGTCCTCACAGAAGCCCGCTTTCCCTCTGTGGCCCTAGTCAGCTCACTGTCAGGGGAGGTCAGTGAGTTAACTGTGGGCTCACATTTGCTGGGAAGAAAGGAACGGGTGGGCCCTTAAAGGTTCCAGTTTCCTGGTTCTTCAGTCTGGGATCTCAAAGGACCTTGCTTGGTCCCCAGCCTTTGTGGGGTTTCGGGAGGACTGACTGTCCATGTTCTGTTTCTTGTTGTATCAGCACTTTAGGACCTCAGTCTGGAAGGAAGGAAGGTCTCTGTCCTGTGGTTGGCCCTGTTGGGTTTTGCCAGGTTTTGAGAGCCATTTGTATTGGGAGGTCATGTTGGGTGACAGAATAGGCAAAGGAGCCTCAGGAGGACTAGTCTTGGATTAATAACCTGGATAAGGCCAGGCTCGGTGGCTCAGCCTATAATCCCAGCACTTTGGGAGGCCAAGGCAAGTGGATTGCCTGAGCCCATGGGTTTGAGACCAGCCCGGGCAACTTGGCAAGACCTCATCTCTACAATAATTAAAAAATTAGCTGGGCATCGTAGCGCGTGCCTATAGTTCCGGCTGCTTGGAAGGCTAAGGCAGAAGGATCACCGGTACCCAGCAAGTCGACGCTGGGGTGGCTGTGAGTGTGCCACTGTACTCCAGCCTAGGCAATGGAATGAGAGTCCAACTCAAAAAAATAAAAAATAAATAAGCTGGATAAAAGGTCTAGCAATCAGTTCTCACACATGAGCTCTGCATTAGCTTAGAACGGGGGTTCTCATCCTACCAGATCCAACACTCCCTTTTCTTAATAATTATTTTACAATTTCCCTCAAATATCCTGAAGTGAAATTTAAATATAATATAATCTATCTATGTACTTAATTTTTTAAACATTGTATCAGGAGCCCTAACCGTAACAAAAAAGTAAACTAATTTATTACATAATTCTATGTATCTCAGTATAAATGCTTGAGAACAGCTATACTAGAAAACAGAATGAAGTCATCAGATGCTTACACCTAAGTGTGGATTGGTGACTCTGACAACTACTAACGCAGATGCCTGAGGGGATATACTGTGGCTAATGCCACACATCAGGATGTGGTTTTTCTGACAAGTTCTAATCAAAACAAAGTACAGACACTTCTTAATGTATATTGCATTTCTGGAGAATTCAGCAGCTGTTAATGTTATGCAAAAATGATTTTGTGTTTATAGACACAAAAAACTGGAGTTAGGTTCTGTAGGCTAAAGTATTCTAACAGGTTTTTCCCATGTGGGAATGTCTTGTGATACATTCAGAAGTCATGTGGGACAGAGAACAGTTGTCCTTTGTGAGATTGTCCGACCCCCTGCCCCCACCCACTAGGTGCCAAGAATGTCCTTCCACATATTGTAAGGACCCCACCCCCAAACCTTCTCTGAGACCAGTACCACTCTTGCTGAGAACCACTGGTTAGACTCTCTGGTCGCAAAAAACAGAAGCCAACTCCAGTGAAAAGGGGAAGTTTATTATAAGGATACAGCGATGACTCACCGACTCCAATATCAAGAGTGTGATCAGGCCTCTAGAAACTGGAACCAGGAATGAAAGCTGTCTTGTCCTTGCCTCTTCTCTCTGGTTTTTTGCTGGGTGTCTGTCAACAGAATGGCAGTTCTAGCCACACCCAGAGATGAATTTGCAAGTCCAGACTCTTAAGACAGCAAATTCATCGAGGTCTTAGGAGTCAGTGCCCATCAGCTCAGGCTAAGGGGCAAGGATGACTGTGCAGAGAGCAGGGGTCAGGACCTAGTCTCCGGATCTGAGGGCTGTTCCCTGAGAAGGGAGGTAGCCCTCACATACCTAGAGATAATCATTCATTTGGACCTCTCTTCTCAATTGATCTTTTATCATCATTGTTTTATAAATTAGAATTTCTCTAGAAATCATTTTTGCAATACTGTTTGCTCCCATTCCCTCTGTTTGCTCCCATTCCCTCTCCCCCACTCCCCACCCTTTTTACGGCGAATCTCACTTTGTTGCCCAGGCTAGAGTGCAGTGGTGTGACCACAGCTCACTGTAGCGTCAGACTCAAGCTAACTTCCTGCCTCAGCATCCAGAGTAGCAGGGACTACAGGTGTGCCCCACCATGCCCAGTTTTTTTTTTTTTTTGGTAAAGACTGTTGTCTTGCTATGTTGCCTAGGCTGATCTTGAACTCCTGCCCTCAAGCTCTCCTCCCACTCCATTCTCCCAAAGTGCTAGGATTACACACATGAGCCACTATGCTTGTTGTTCCTCTCACTCTCTTTAAATGGTCACTTTTTTCTTCTATTTTAAATGTCATGAGAAATGCATAGCTGCCGTAATAATCATTCGTAACTGGCACACTTATGACACCCCATGGTAATTATGTACTGAAGATGCCTTGGTTGCTGCTGAGTGTGGGAGGGATAACCCTGCAGCCTGCAGCTGCAGTGGACACCACACATGGAGACAGAGACAGTTTACCATACTGCTGGAAGCTGCAGGGTCTTAAAGAGTCAACACGGGCTCTTAGACAGACATGTACCATGGGATGAGTAATACCTGCCCGATGGCTGGTGGTGAATTAGATTAGGTAACCCATATGGAGTGCTAGCACAGTGCTAGCCCGTGAGAGACTCCCAGGGCATGCAGCTGGTGTTGTGGTCCAGCGGCACACGGGAACAGGAAGGAAATATTAACTTGACCGGGAGAAGAAGAAGGATAGCTCTCCAAAGAAGGATAGCTCTCCAAAGAAGGCACCAGGTGAGGATTTCTCTAGGCAGAGGAAAGGGAACAGCATGAACAAAGCCATGAAGATTCGGGCTGTGTTCAGCGAGTGTAAGAAGCCCTAAGAGGCCAGAGCTTAGTATTTCTGCATGAAAATGGAGGGGAAGGTGCTGTGAGCAGGAACTGAGAGCACAGAATTGGGGCCAGACAGGACTTTGAGTTTTGGCTCTGCCACTTCTTCACTGTAAGTGGCTCAGAGACTCGGTTTCATCATCTGTAAAATGAAAATGGGAATGATAATAGTAATATACCTTCTTCATCAGATTTGTTGATGAAAAGATGCCAGACTGTAAAATATTTTAAGTCTGCTGAACCAAACATGGGAACTTAAGCTTGGGAACGCCCATTCTCAGGAGGTCCTGGGAACCTGTGTCCACTGTGGTTGAATGGTGGCTTGGTTAGATACATTTTAGGAAGGCAGAAGTTACAAGAAACCATACATCAGTGCATGTGATATTTTCATTCGTTTGGCCCAGGAAGGTGGGACATTTTCAAGCAGGCTTGCAGGTCATAGGTGGATTCAGAGATTGCTTGACTGTTAATTTGTAGTTCCTAGCTAAGAAATTTTGGAAATCAGTAGAGGAGATGCTTTGTTAAGATAAGGGGGCTCACGTTTGTAATCCCAGCACTTTGGGAGGAAGAGGCAAGAGGATTGCCTGAGCCTAGGGGTTTGAGACCAGCCTGAGCAGTTTGGTGAGACCTTGTCTCTAGAATAAATCAAAAAATTAGCCAGGCATGGTGGTGCACACCTATAGTCCCAAGCTACTTGGAAGACTGAGGTGGAAAGCTTGCCTGAGCCCAGCAGATCGAGGGTGCAGTAGTCCTGTTTGACTCAAAAAAAAAGAAAAAAGAAAAAGGGGTGGGGAAACTCCAGGTTTGTTGATATGTAGATGTAAGATGTAAATAATTAAGTGTCTTACAAGGTTCCCTGTGTCTGGGCATTCCCAAGAGGCAACTTTGCTGGGTCATAAAATAATTTCCTTCTTTATTTGTTATGTGATATTACACCAGAGTCAGGAGGCTGGGAAACAGACTTTTTAGTGTCTAGAGTAATAGGGCAATAAAATCCTATCTGGTGAGTCCTTATCAGGCGTGACTCCCACACCTTTTAGTTAGGAATTTGGGTAAGAGGGAAAAAAAGGCCAGGTTTAGTCCTCAGGTTTTTGTGAGGAGTAAATGAGAAAGACCTGGTGCACCGGAAGAATGCCAACTTTAATGTATGTGGCCTAAGAAAACAAGAGAGGCCCAGCAGACACCTGGGGCCAGATGCAAAATCTTAATGTTGATCACTCATGATTTGGCTTTTTTTCATAAACTCTTTTGGAAATGCAAAAGCCTGTCCCAGTCCCGGTTCCTGGGAGAATTTTGCTGCCAATACTGTTATTCGCAGTAGGACCCAGACATCCTTTGGGTTTTTTGCTGAGCTGTTCCCACTCCTGGACTAGCATACTTCCCTCTGTCTCACAATTTTCAGCCTAAGTGGTCTCATCTTTGCAGTGAACTTTTCCTTTTCACATCATTGGGACATCTGAATAAATGACATTCCTAGTCACAGAGCCTATGTGTAGAATTCATAATAGTACTGAGCTTGTATCCCCTTACATCCTGCAGGCTGGAAGGTGAGCAGGCTCTTGTCTTGGATTACCTTCTCCTGCTTAAAGATAAGGCGTTTTCTTTTTTTTTTTTAAAGTTAACTTATTCTCATACTGTGGTCATTCAAAACTAAAACAACACCAAAAGGTAAACTTAAAATTCTTGCTTCTACCCACATTCCATCCACCTCATTTCTGTGCCAACATCCCCAGGTAATCAACACCATTGATACTGATTTCTTGTGCATCCTTCCAAAGTTTCTTCATGCAGAACATAGGCAACTACAAGCACATGTTCTTATTTTTCCCTCTTTTTTATTTAAAAGAAGCATAATAAACATACTGTTCTATGTTTGGCTTTTTTCAAGTATTCTGAGTATCCGGGAGATTGTTCCAAATCATACAGAGAGCACATCCTTGATGATGAGCCTAGAAAGACCCCAGGACTGGGCAGAATAGACCCAGCAGGCTAGCAGAGGGTATTCAGTTGGCAGACAAAGGAGGATGAGGTCAAGGAAGGAACTTCCCAGCAGTGAGGAGACAAGGCAGCAAGCAGGGACGCTGCAGTCAGTATTTACCTGATTGATTTCGCTGAGCAGTCCCTGCCCTCTGAGGAATGCTGTGACCCATGTAGGAGGGAGAAGCTCTCCTTAGACCTGTGCCCATTACAACCCAGACACCCACCCACTGGGTGATTCCTAGCCTCTGAGGCCCGCCAGTCACAACACTTTCCCTAGGGAAGAGGTCAATCAAAAAGGAGGGGGTGAGGCAGATGGTATTCATACCCCCCACAGAGACCATGGCTCCAGAGGTCAGGGCCACACTCTGCAGATCTCTCCATGGACACTCCAAGTGGCTCCCTTCGCAAGTTGATATGAACCATTCTTGCAACTTGCACACAGTGGGGAACCGGGCTCCATTGCATTACCTTATGCGGATGCAAACCATTCCAGAGTTGGACACGGACTCCTCTTGCCCCTGCTGTTCCTTTGCAAAGTGGATAATAAGGAAAGCTTTGTGTCCCCTGTGTTCCAGGAGTCGTGCAGCATCTGCAGAACGGCCAGCTGCTGAGAGACATCTACCTAAAGAAACACAAGCTCCTGCCGAATGATTGGTCCACAGACCAGCTTTATTTAGAGACCACGGGGAAAAGCCGGACCCTGCAGAGCGGGCTGGCCTTGCTCTATGGCTTTCTCCCAGATTTTGACTGGAAGAAGATTTATTTCAGGCACCAGCCAAGTGCTCTGTTCTGCTCTGGAAGCTGCTACTGCCCAGTGAGAAACCAGTACCTGGAGAAGGAGCAGCGTCGTCAGTACCTCTTGCGTCTGAAAAACAGCCAGCTGGAGAGGACCTACGGGGAGATGGCCAGGATCGTGGACGTCCCAACCAAGCAGCTCCGGGCGGCCAACCCCATAGACTCCATGCTCTGCCACTTCTGCCATAACGTCAGCTTCCCTTGCACCAGGAATGGCTGTGTCGCTATGGAGCACTTCAAGGTGATCAAGACACATCAGATAGAGGATGAGAGGGAGAGGCGGGAGAAGAAGCTGTACCTCGGGTACTCACTCCTGGGCGCCCACCCAATCCTGAACCAGACCGTCGGTCGGATGCAGCGTGCCACCGAGGGCAGGAAAGAAGAGGTCTTTGCCCTCTACTCTGCTCATGATGTCACTCTGTCCCCAGTCCTCAGTGCCTTGGGCCTTTCGGAAGCCAGGTTCCCAAGGTTTGCGGCCAGGCTGATCTTCGAGCTTTGGCAAGACAGGGAAAAGCCCAGCGAGCATGCCGTCCGGATTCTGTACAATGGTGTCGACGTCACATTCCACACCTCATTCTGCCAGGACCACCACAAGCGTTCTCCCAAGCCCATGTGCCCCCTCGAAAATTTAGTTCGCTTTGTCAAAAGGGACATGTTTGTGGCCCTGGGAAGCAGTCGTACAAATTATTATGATGCATGTCACAGGGAAGGATTCTAAAAGGTCCGCAGCACGGCAGTGTAGAATCTTTGCCAGTACAGAGAGTGGGGAAAGATCCACTTCTAGTTCTATCTGTTGCTAAGGGTATATGATGATTGATTTTTTTAAAGGCTAAACACTGTGTTTGGGAGCCACGTGGATGGTTTGGGTGGAACAGCAAGCATGTTGCTATATTCTGGTACATGAATTGCTTGGTACAAGATGGCTAGTTTACAGAGAAAAGAAGGTACGTTATCATAGCCAGACTTTGTTTAGAATGCCAGAATAATATACTTCAGTACCCAAAGTCACCAAGCCAACCTTGTATTATTTTGGACTGCCGTGGTACTGTATGATGAAACCAGCAAACCTCAGCCCAAATTTTCTTAATCTTGGACAGTTTTACCTTGTCCTTGTTCACTTAAGTATTTTTGGAAGTGATTTATCTAAAAGGGGTTGGCAAACTTTTTCCATAGGGCCAGATAGTATTTTAGACTGTATGGATCAAAAGTCCACATACAGTCTCTGTTGCAGCTACTAAACTAAACTCTGCTCTTGGAACACAAAAGTAACCCAGACAATACACACATGAATAAGTGTGCTGTGTTCACAGGCTGGACAAAACAGGTGGGGGCCAGAGTTGGCACCCAAGCTGTAGTGTCAACCCCTAATCAACGAAAGTTAATAAATAGGCTGTAATACAACTGCACTTCCAGCACTTTGAGAACCAGATGAATATCATGAATTATTCAGTGGTTTATCCAGTAACTTCTGATAAAAACACAGAATTTGGTCTGTATCTGACACTATAACAAAACTTGAGGGGAAATAAATATTGAATCAGAATGAATCATAGAAGAACAATTAGAAGCATACTTGATGTCCATGATGATTGTGGTACGAGATAGTTTTAAGTATGTTTTAAATATTTGTCTGCTGTAGACTATTTGCTGTATATGCTGAGAGTTTTGTATTCTATTTAGTATTTTTATAGTCTAGGAAAATATTTTCTAAGACCAATTTTAGATGTGTTCTTCCTAGAGTAATATTCAATTTACTGCACCTGCTTGGTGGTTAGAAGGAGGCCAGAAGATGAATTTAGGTACTTTCTTCCAAGAAAACTAATGATGGTTCATTCCCTTTGACAAGCTATATGATTGGATCAATTTTTAAACCCTTTCATCAGTTTCAAATGGTAAATTCAGATTGATTTTTCAATACGTTTTTGGAAGAACTTTGTTACCAGATAGTTTAAAAAAATATTTATAAGGTGTTTTATATGGTAGAAGCAATTGTAATTAAATCTGTGATTTCTGAATTAATGGTGCTAATTCCACTCAAAGAAAAATGTAAAGTGCAAGTGGGATTCTCTGGTGTCATTGGCATTCCAGCTTTTTCTCTGTGTTTGTCCAGTGTTGCATTTGAACATGTTTCTATAAATAAATTTTTGAAGAATACTTATACAACTAATTGTTTGTACCTATAACTCTAGCTGTTTCCAAGTGGGAACCAATATTTTAAAAATTTATCTTAACTTTCATTTATTACTGAAAATCGTGTGTTGTCTCTAAAGTATTTAAAACCTAATCAAGTTTTTGTTTTGTTTTGTTTGTACTCATAATATATCTGAATTGGAACTGCTAAACACAACTTGA